ACCTGTTTGAAAAAGTTTATTCTTTAGCTTTACATCTTTAATAGGTTTAATGGACAGGCAAGTTATCATAAGAAGAATGGTAATCTTGTAACAGGGATTTCTTTAAGTATTGCAAGTGGTCATATTTGGTTTTTTTAATAGGCAGTCTTGATTTATACAAACGAGGTAACTCTGCAAGGTTGACACTATTGGCCTTTTGAACAGGACTCTGAATCAGAAAGTAGGTATTAGTTTATAAAATTTAACAAGAAATAGTTACATACCTCTAGTTGTTTCCATTGTTCGTGATGATTGAGTTTATAATAAATTTTTCCTTCCAGTGTATATTTTAATTGCCTTAGGTCTGTTACTTGAGGATCACCTGCTTTCTTTCCGGACCGTGTGTTTGGATAAAATTGCGCTTGACTGAACTTTTTAAAAAAGTCATGTTTAATGTAGTGGACGTTGTATGGATTTGGATTTTTTCTAGCAGTTTTGCATATTTCCACACAGTCAGCAGGAACATTGATCTTGACATTCCTCATCCTTTTTTCAATCGTTGAGTGCATGGACGCGACTTCCATCTGGGTGTGACCCACTTCCAAGTATTTTTGGATTATCGTTACACCATAAAATATAGAAATGTTTAGAAGTGCATTCGCCATTGTGGTATTTCTGTTTTGGCTTGTGCACCCATCGCTATAGATTATAATGTCTTGATCCTCTTTCCTACCTACCTAGTAAGGTATCGCTATTTTCACCTAAAAGTCGCAAAGCAAAGAAGCAAAGTTATCGGAAATTACTCCTCCCTCCGTTTCGTTCCACAGATAACAATATCCATAATGTGTTTTCACATCAAAAATTGTATAATTATGCGTGATTAATTTTGTACGGAAATAGTTAGCAGACACTTTAGAGAGTTTGCTTAGAAGTACCGCTTGAAGATCCACTGTATATACTAAATTGTTGGACTCTTTATCAAGCCGACTTTCATTACGTGCTGCCTTTTTCCGATTTTGATGTTCTTGGTGCTTCACCTCATCAAGGTTACCTACTTCATGTTCTGCGCATATTTCACATTGATCATTTTTAGGAATATAGAGGCTTACATTTTGCTTAGCGAAATATTTTTCAAGCGAAAAAATTGAGAGTTATTAGTTTTTGAAAAGATAAGGATTTATTTAGAATCAGTATAAATGTTATACTTTTAATCATTGTAACAGAATTTTAAATGTTAGCTACCATTTTTATGAAAAACGTACAATTTTTGTTGTTGTTCACCCTTGTATGTAAGTAAAGAAAGATTTATTTTAGGTGTTAGAAGTGCCGGTTTTTTTAGGATCTACCATACCTAAGTGAATTCATTCATGCCGAGACGTTCTTGTTAGATGTACAGTTTGAAAGTTTTTTGAAGGGTATTCATTTGATCGGAGTTTTCGATGGGAGAATAGAATCAATTAGAGATCTGGAAAGGTATATCAGGTTAAGTCAGCCCAATTCTATTTATGTTTTGGACGCAGATCTATTTATAGCGATAAATCATGCTAGGCTAGAGGTGGGTGATAGGCGTAAGACGAAAAAATATGCGTGCGTAAATGTGACCCAAAGTTCCTTTGTGAAGAGGAAAAGTGATGGAGGAATATCTTATACCTTTCGGATGATGTCGATATCAAGTGTGGTCGAACCGTTTAAGATTGTCAATACGCAGGACAGTAGTTTGAGAAGCGATGAGGAAGAATTAGACGCTGATGAGATTGATACTATTTACCAGAATATTCGAAGTAGACGTGAGACAGCGAAGCGAGGACGAGGTGGAAGACGATCAGGTGTTGAGAGAAGGAGTGGCACACCAACTTCTTCAAACAGCGCCCGGAGTACGATTCACTCTCTAACGCATGATTTGGAAGCATTGAACACTACTAAATTCCCAACTATAAAAATCTATAAATCAGTAAAAATGATTAGAACAAATCACAAGAAATAAAGGGGTAATTAAAAAATGTTATAACAAACAATGCTAATCTAGTTCACTCATTACCTGAAAACGAGGTAATTTACAGACGGTGTCATTATAGAAAAATGCAGTAAATGCATTGAATAAGTAACTTATTCAACGGTAACAGAAATGGGAATTTGTGCATCTCCAGTCAAATATTGTACAGCTTTTCGATAACTTGTTTACATAATTAGTCCTTGATCATTATACATGGTCTATTGTGTTTAACAATAAATGAAGAAAATATGCAAAACTGAGAAGGATAGATACATCGTTGGTTTCACTCAAGGAGATTCATGTAGCAGTGTGCATTGTTGGTGGTCTAACCAATTGCAATAACACTGAAATACAAATTGACTACAGAGGAGCCTTAAGACACTCAATCGTAAGTGGATTCATTTGCTTAAACTCTCGGTACCATTTTCTTTATATTGTAGGTGACCAAACACCTTATTGTAACATTTCGCCTGTAAAACTCAACCACATCGAATCACCATCGAAGGTTTTTTGTGTATACTCTCCTGTGAGGATGTGGGAATTATTCGTTGGGTAATCACTCGGTTGTAATCGTTTATTATCTTCGAGTTCTTGTACGGGGGTTACAATCCACCATTTCATTTTTCATGTGGGGATACAATAATTGAATAATTTGGGAGCGTATATTTTATTTTGTGATCATAATAAAGATCAAATATTTTTGCGGGTCGTTAAAAGATCGACTTTTTTTTTCTTCTGAACTGAAGCTGACCTTCCCAGTTTCAGCGGCTGTCGGTGTAATTAATATAGAAACTGGATGGGGCCCAAAAGACCCAGAAACCAGAGTACCTGTAAGCATCATTCGAATTGGAATCGAGCCCATTGAACCACTGAGAATTGTTTCCAATATTTTACCCACAACCCTGTATGACTCTCCGCTATTCAGTCAATCGAGCTAGCTGGTCGTTCAGCGGCGTGTGTGCGTTTGCCCAGGAAAATAATTATAGCGCGCTGGTTTTACAGCTTGCGCGTCATAAGTTTATTCCCAGCTTATTTTTTAGGAATTGTATAACCACAGCATATGTGTCTTCGTTAAGTACTTCGGCTAATATTGTTTGGTAGTGGAAGATTGCAAAAAACGCTTCAAATCTTTACGAGAAAAATATTATGGCCCCTCATGTCATTCTTTGATTTTATGTTTCAAAACTTAACTCCTCGAAAGTATGTATAGAACATTTTGAAATGATAAATGAAAATATTAAATAATAATTATTTCAGAACCTGTTCAAGTTTCCTTGTGAATGAAAATGTAGTATCACATGCAATAACTACACAAAATGTGCCAATTTCTGGATGGAGTAAGGTTCCACTTCCTTTGCCGTCCACGTCATCTACATCAAGTGCATGTGAAAGTAGTGAAAGAAGCAATCCTCCTTGTAATGTCTGTCGGAGTGAGTTTGAATTGTTAAACGAATATTTCGTTATCAAATAGAATCTCGGTTAGAATGTTGATAGTGTCTTCTGTGGGTATATTAGTGTATAAGTTGGTAATGTCAAAGTATGAATTTTTGAGCCTTTTGAATTTGTAGAATGTTGTTCGTGAGTTGTTGAGAATTTTTGATTGAATATTTAGATTTATATTTGAATATGTGAAGCATTAGATGGTTAAGAAATTTGGCTATTTTGGATGATGTTTATAGGCCGTATTGGTTTGTCGATTTTATGAAGTTTAATAATACTAGGCGTTTACGTTTATTCGTTCCGTTCAGTTTTATTTAATCGGAGCGTTAAATATTCGTTCGAAAATTTCTTCGGGACAACTCTTTAGTGTTCAAATATTACATCAGATCTATAAACCTAGCGATCTGCTCGTTGAGTAGGGTTGGTGTTTGGTATCTGTCAAAAAAATCATAACATAACCTTAAAAATAACGTTTTGAAAATGCAACAGGACTTGCTCGTTGTGCGTTTTATGACTATATTAGTTATGAAACAAAGGCGCACATATTAGAGAACTGCACACGGTTGAATATGATGGGACTGAGAATACTTCTGCTATTTTAGGTAAGCTATTACTTTGTAATAATACCCACATTACTACGTCGTTAATACCGAGTCCGAAGACATTCAACAAGAACCATCGCCACTTGGCATTGTTAATAATAAGAAAAATAATAATCCAGCTCAACTTTTGAAATGGAAAAGTGATGATGTACGATTACAAATCAATTTGTACGAAGAGCACAAAGACGACTTTTAACAATCCAAGGAAAACAAATAGAAGTACATGGCAGAAGATTGCAACGATAATGTCTTAGAATGGTTGCAACGTTTCTTGGGAGCAATGCGAGTCCAAGTTCAAAAATATGAAAAAGACTAAAAAAGATAAAGGTATAATCAAATCAATTAATCAAATATCATTACACGTAAACGAAAAAGGGTGGCGGAAGAAGAACCCGCCTGGTTTAAATAATCACGTCAAGCATACCTTCGCGTGATGTCACGCTAGGAGACACACTTGTGTGCGCTCACGGTGTCGCGCGGTAGCTGTCGTTGCAATTTAAGATTTGCATTTCACTAATTAGTAGCGATGAAGCGAAGTAGAGATTCTTCTTCGTTAAGTTCTTCAGACGAAGAGGATATAGAAAACGTGGCTGCTTTTACAGTGGCTAATGGAATACAGCGCAGTGTTTGGATTTACCACATAAATCTTCGAAGAGAAGAAGTGGGGGTATTTCGTCAATTAGTCCACGAATTATTGAATGGACATCCAAGCCGCCTGCAGATGTATTTCAGAATGACCAAAGAAGAATTTTACTTTTTGCATGGACTGATTAAAAATGACATTCAGAAGCAAAATACTCAGTTTAGAAAGGCCATTAGTACCGAAGAAAGATTGGCTGTGTGTTTAAGGTAACTATTCATTGAAATGTACGAACATGTTTTATTTTCCAAAACGTATTGCTACACAACTTTAATGACTATTATAGAAAAGTATAACGAATTTTGTTATTAAAGTCACACAAAGACGTCAATTCTAGTACCGTTGGTTCGCACTCCTCGCGAGTCTTCTCTGATGTCGAGTAGGTAGTTGCTTATTTTTGGGGCATTTGTGAATTGCCCATAGTCAGCTTCTTTATACTCCTGCGGCGACAGTGCCGATTGCATAGTGTATGATTCTGAAGATGATCTTGAATATTTATAAGGTTGAGACCAAGGGTTGCACACAATATGACGATGATGTAGATGGTCTAGAATTCTCATGAGGTGGAAATAATGGCTGCACAGTAGTACATGATCGTGACGTAGGTGTATGAGCACTTTGTGCTTGTGCGCATCTCAATTCAGCTTGAAGAATAGTATTGCTCAATGTCAGCTTAATAGAAGCTTGTTCCGTTTTTGGTAATTGTTTCGCCATTCTGGCTAAACCTAGGAAAAACATGTCAGTCTCGTCCAAACTTTCAAAACAGGTGTGCTTCTTTTGCGATGATGTTTTTTCTTCGAATTTTCGTTTTCGTAGAGCGGCATTTTGTTCCATTATTGCTGCCATTTTATCCGCTGCAGAAATTTTGCGGTATGAACAATTTTTTCTTTTCTTTATATGTTCTAATGTTTTTGTATTTTCGGAGCGCAATATATCACCTTGTGAAGGTATTTGTGTTTGCGTTACTGCACTTCTTCGTTCTTCGTGGCCTTCTTCAGCTGTATCTTTAGAGTCTGCATTTTGTTCTTCTACTTCCTGTTCGTCTGCGTCATCGTCGTTAGTAACGTCTTCGGCGGTAACGTGGATGTCTTCTTCATTTTGTGAATTTTGCAAGTTTCCGCGAGCCCTATAAACAATTTCGCAAAGGTTCTGAATCAAATCGGCACGATAATTGGTATTTACCTTCGACCTTCTAAATAAGGTAACAAGAATGCCATCTGGTTTTCAAATTTCCATGGCGTAATTTGTTTAGTAGCCTGGCCACTTTTGGTAGACAGGCGCCTATTTCTTGCATTGCAAAAACATCGTCGAAGTTTGTCCCACTTTGCCTTGGCGTTGTCCGCTACACGTAAAAGCAAAGAAATAAATATTAAACAATGTTTCAGATTTCTGGCAACTGGAAATTCGTTTAGGAGTATGGAATTTAATTACAGAATAGGCTTCAGTACTGTTCCGTCAAATAGTACAAGAAGTTTGTGATGCCATATGGAACAATTTGCGGTCTATTGTAATGCCAAAACCAACGGAAGAGTTATGGAAAACGTCGTCAGCTAGATTTAACCAACAGTGGAATTTTCCTAATTGTGTTGCTGCTATAGACGGCAAGCACATTAATATTCAGTGTCCTTTTAATGCAGGATCCACATACTACAACTACAAGGGAAGTCATTCTATAGTTCTGATGGCGCTAGTTGATGCAGACTACAAGTTTATTGCCATTAACGTTGGCTCTTATGGGAGGAATAGCGATGGTGGTATTTTTGAAAAGTCAGATATTGGAAAAATGCTTGACCAAAGAACATTGAACGTACCAGCAGACTCGCCATTGGAACCAAATGGATCACCTCAGCCACATGTCATCGTGGGCGATGAAGCGTTTCCACTTAAAAAATATTTGCTCCGTCCATACAGTAAATCTCATTTACAAGAAAACGAAGCTCACAAAATATACAATTACAGATTATCAAGAGCACGACGTGTGGTGGAAAATGCGTTTGGTATTTTGGTAGCACGATGGAGAGTGTTTCGTAGACACTTAGAGGTACAACCAGAATTGGTGGATAAAATTGTTCTTGCTTGTTGCTGTCTTCATAACATGTTATGTGCGGATGCATAACAACCAGGTAATATAACTTTGCATGCATTTGACGCTGCCTTTCAGAATCTTGATGGAATGAGACGGAATTGCACTAATGAAGAGTTCGAGAGGCTTTTAAAGACTTTTTCAATTCCCCTTCGGGTAGTGTACCTTCGCAAATAGACATAGTTCGTAGGGGTAGAATACACCGTGATAACGATTAGGTACTTATTTACAGTGTATATGTAGTCTGCTAATGTGTTAGGTTTGTAAATATGTATAATATACATATTACTAGGTAATAAAAGAACAAACTTTACCTGGTATTTTTAAGGTTCTACCAATTTCCTCCCAAGGTTCTTGTCGAACCCTCTGATCCCGGTACTCAGCAGAGGAGTGATTGTATAGCCCTTCGTGCTGTCTCGCCAGTTCAATTAAATATTCGTCCATCTTTTTTTGACGACTAGACCACTTCGGGAAACAATTGACGTGATGTCACGTTCTACTACAAAATGTAATTTTGCGGGATAACGGAGGCGTGATATCATGCGAGATCAGAACAGCACGTCGTGAGTGGCACATATTGCGCAGGTAACGAGAGTTTGCGTAATAGCACGTGAGGTCCGCCTTAAATCGCCCTTTTAATAATCCAAAAGTTTGTTCGATACAAACCCTCGTTGAAGTTTTCTATTGTAATTTTTTTGTTTTTGGGTCAAGCTACCATTATCTTTATAAGGGGTAAGTAAGTAAGATTAAAGAGTGGGTACGCAGAGTCTCCTAACATATGACGACGAAGTGGAACAGAGTTAAGAACTTCATAACCAAAGTGGTAAGCAAGAGAGAACGAGAGGGACGAGAAAGGGAGAGGGCAGTATAGGCCGGCAGGTACACCGGTAGATACCCGGCTAACATCTAGGTGGCGACCATCTGCCACCGGACAACCCTCGGCCGTGAAGAATGCCTTTTGGCGATACCCGGCCGTCACCAAGTCTTAGAGAGGAAAAAAAAGGCTAGGTTAGGTTTGGGTTAGTCGCGGCCTGAGTTTCATAGCGATCGGACGCGAAATAACCGACCTGCGGCTTTTTGAAGTGTAGTTGTTTGTTAAAAATTAATGAGGGGTATCGGCGTGTGCGCGCTGAATTCCGCTAATTTTTGGTGTTGGTTTTATCTAAATCGGACCGGTAGTACCGGAGATACGATTTTTTAAAGTTTGTAATAGTGAAATAACAAATACGTGTGGGTGTGATAAGAAGAGGGACGGAAATCCGAGGGCTAGCGGGACGTGCCGGGCATCCAGGGGAAGCCCATCTCCCGGGTCGAACCCGTACCGGGACATCCTTATCGGACGGAGGAGACGGGAGCTGGAGGCTAATCATTCCGGCGGCGATAATCATAGATAGACCCACGGAGGCGTCGAAGAGCGACGGGACAAGGCTCGGCGCACTGGGCGTTTAAAGATCTACAGCTGGGTACCACACACGAGGGGGTAGAAACCACCCTACCGCAGTAACGTCCGACGACCACGTGGATTTCGGGGGCGGAAGGAGGCTTCTGAACAGGTAGTGTTGCATGTCATTTTACTAAGTAAATTAACACGAGTCTAAAAAAGTTGGCCGCGTGCCGCTCCGAGCGGTAGTTATCGCGGGATAAGCTAATCAGTTTTTGCCCTAAAAATCCGAACTGGGAGAGCCGCGCGGCAGGAAACCCTCAGACAGTGGCAGAAGGAGTGGGAGGAATCAGGAACAAACTGGACAAAGACGTTCATCCCAGATGTAGAGCGATGGGCTAACAGGAAATGGGGAAGTCTGACGTACAAGGCCACATAGGCGCTCTCGGGGCACGGCAACTTCAGCTACTATTTGGCCAAATTCAAAAAGAGAGAGACCAGCGCGTGCGTTTACTGTGGTGCCGAAGACACGCCAAAACACACCATCTTCGAATGCGTGAGGTGGGAGGAAGCAAGACTGAAGGCTGGCATAGAGTGCGGTACAAATATAACTGTGGAGAACGTGGCGCAAGTAATGATGAACAACGAAAGTGGCTGGAAGGTCGTCATTAATATGATAACAGATATACTTAAAAGGAAAGTAGACAGATAAACGGAGGCATAATACCGCCTACCTTGGAATTAATGTCGGCCGACGGTTCCAAGGTAGCGCGCAGAGCGAAATTGGGGAAGGGTTTTAGTGGATGAAAGTCCCACACTATCTTCACAATAAGAACGGCGACGTGGAGGTGTCCGAAAAGGATTTCCCAATCCCAAAAAAAAAAGGTTTAGGTTAGGTTAAAAAAAATGGCTCCAATTACACCATCAAAATTATTGCTTTGTTTGAAACGTTGTACTGTTTGTGTAGCTTTCATTCCTACTGGCCACTGAATAAAACGATGTGCCTGTTTTGTTAATATCCTTGATACTTCATGTACGTATTCCCATGTGGATTTGGATACATCAAATCTATCAGCTACAGTTCTAAATAAAGTAATATATACGATTTCTTGTTAATAGTACCACTTAACCTGTAACATTCTTGATTGGCTAGCATCCGACCACATTTAATACTTTTTTTATACTTGAGGTTTGCATCCGAAAGTAACTTATGAAATCTACATTTTTCAGTTCAGTACAAAATTGTTTATTGGTTTACGCTTACCATCTATAGTATAATGAGAGATAACCTCTCCATAGTTTCGAATGCATACCCTTTTGTATCTTTTTTTTTGTTGGTTATATAAATTAATTGTATATATGAATCGTCTTCCCTGTCTGAATAATAATCGACGACTGCCGCGGTAACGCATGCAATCTTAGTAGTTAAATCCATGTTTATGTAAATGTGTGCAATGTACTAACATAAGCAATAACCTCAATCAATAATTTGATTGAAACACAGGACCGTTCGTTTATTACAGATCGAATCTGTAAATCTGGGCGAGTTATCCGAGCAATCCAGTTGGGTCAAGTTTATCACCCGGAATGAATAAACGTAAACGCCTACTGTAGAGTGTAGGGGTTCGATTTTATGTACGCTTAAAATCATGAATATCTGTATTAAGTAGTTATTTGTATTTCATGCATTCTTTTTTTTAACGTCGTCATAAACCTTGTTCATTATATACCTATGAAATATTGTGTATTGTTTTATCTTCCGATAGTTGCAAGAATTGCCAGATCTGATAGGAATTTTTTTCTTATCAATAAAATCCATTGTATTATATTTTTCTCCTAATCTAAAATTCATGAAGGGAGAAAAAATATACCCTTTAATGGGTCATAATTTTTTTCTGAAATCCTGTATGTTGATATAAAAAACCCACCTGGTTAAAGCAATGTAAATTCACATTTCATAAAGTTCGTTATATGATAGTGGTGGCTGATTCAATGACTTCACTTCTATTATTTCATACGATAAGACGCATCTACCCTTTATTCAGATTCTCCAATTTCAATGTCCCTATCTACAAAAGCAGCAATTAGGTAGTATTTAAACTAATCCAGATTCTTATAATAATGAACAGAGATCTGTTCCACAACACGGCCAAAGTATCAGTTTTCAGTATCTAGTTATCTAACGTAATTAATTTCATCCATCCTTAGTGCACAGAAGTATGACAGCTGTCTTGAGTTAACAACTGTAATTCTAAATCGGATTTTCTCGTTGTAATTAGTGTTGTATTTTTTGTCAGTCATTAATAACTGTATGTATCTACACAAACGAGGCTGCTGCTTTTCAAGCACACTAATGCTACTATTTCTGTTTTAAAAATATTCGAAGGAATTCACCAAGTCTTATATTTATAGTGTTGCCGTCATTATTATGTAACGAAATTCTTTTTTGTGTTCCAGTATGTTACCATTCTTGGAAGTGCAATTATGTAATGAGAATTGGTGGAAATTCGGTAGTATAGTAAACATTTATCCGTAAGTGATTATGTAGTAAAACGTGTTTGTTTGTAATTAATCGATTTAAACCTTGACCATTCGCGTTGAACATACAATGCTGTCATTTCCTCTGTCCCGAATTCAAGCACATCACACCCGAAATTTTGAACGTAAATTACCCAAAAGTCGTGAGCTGTCATGTCATCATAATGGTACCAATTTGATTAACGTCTAGGAATAAAGGAGGTCATATTTTTCGAGAGAGAACAAGTGATATTAATAGAACAATGAAATAATAAAGGTCACGGACATAGTTAAAATTAATTAACCCTTTGAAATTCCGCAATCATACATGTGTCTATGACATTACCATTACTTGTGGCTCATATTTAAAATAACCTAATTAGTTGGAGGTCAAGGTTATTGTAATTAATAGGCGCCACTTATCATTTTTGCATAACAGCAAGGAGATGTCGTAAAATTTGAACGATTCCATCACCAATTTTTACGATGGAGTCTTAGTCAAGGTTTTGGCTTCATTACTCAAATGCGATTTCATTACGTTTCCATATTTCATAGTAGGTAGCAATAAATCTTTAGCTTATGAACTGATTTTCAAACATAACTTTCAATGAGGGAATCGCCCTTGCCCTCTAACTTTCCATCCTTGATCCGTTGCACACCTTGGATT